TTTTCCGCTCGGTTCTTGGCTGTGTGACTATGGCAATGTCCGGACAGCATTTTAAACGAGAATATGGGCGTATTGCGGAAACGCAGATCTCGTAGCTTTCCACCTTCTAAACACAGAATATTCTTATTACAGTAGATAATCTATAGATATAAAAATGAATTTCTGTCTGTCTGTCTGTCTGTTTGTCTGACCCTTATAGACTCGGAAACTACTGAACCGATTGGCGTGAAAATTTGTATACAGGGGTTTTTGGGGCCGTGAAAGGTTCTTATGATGGTTGGAGACCCCTCCCCCTTCTGTAAGGGGGGGCTCCCATACAAATGAAACAGAAATTTCTGCATAACTCGAGAACTAATCAAGCAAATGGAACCAAATTAGGCATGTGGGGGCGAGTGTGGGGGTATAAGGAGATAATCATAGGGGGTAGCCCCTTAGATAATAGGGGGCGGGGCAACGTACAATATAGCATGCTTTTTTTTTTAAATCGGCGCATAAACTCAAGCTAATATTGAATCCCGAGCAAGACCGGGCATACTCAGCTAGTAAACCATAAAGGCCACTGGATACAGTATAAGCAACATAGTTAGAATTATTTTCTTTATTTTCCTACGTATAATTTAAACAAGTAAAACGTTGTGTTCAATGTGATATAATAATTGCATTAATTTTTCAAAATAATCTATACAGTAGTTTATTCAAAAGGAGAGTCAAAAAAGCCAAAAGCTTCCGGTCAGAAACGAATCACGATCATTCCCATTCAACACACGGTAGATTGACAAACTTTTCTTCCTGCATTTGCTCAGGCCTGCAACACGTTTTCACAGCTTCAGATCCTCGATAATGCAAAAACAAAATCGTAGTCAGATGATTCACTGCTAGGTAATTAACATGTTTAGAAATAAGGAGAATTCCGCCCTGAGCGATGTTTCACGCGCAAGGCGAAATTTTGCGAAGGTACGACAGGGAGAGAGAGAGAGAAAAGTACTAGTTGTCTCTCTCATGCCATCGCTAATTTTGCTCCGGTCAGCTAATGCACGCATATATCTGAATATACCAATACTCATCATCACAGGATCTTTGTGCACCGAGAGGGTAGATGTGAGCCAATACACACTTTGAGTTCAGTCGATCGGTAAATACCGTTAAACTTGTACTGAAAACATCATTAATTGTAACCAGCCCTTGAAGCATTTTTACAAGCTGAATCGCTGAAAAATATAACTTAAATAATTGTACTAATTTATACTCATAATGAAAATACTTAACACTCCTATTTGTATAAATACAAGACGACCGAAAACAACAAGTCAACAACAAACACATACACTAGCAACCGGTCATCAAAAAATAAGTGTTACTTCGATAGAAATTTATAGCCATGGTTTAAAATACTTAAAAATACCTAAGAATACTTACGCGGGATTTACAAATATTTTATTGATATTAGGTATGAAGTTAAGAGTGGGATGCCCCTAGCCATAACATGATTAATTGTCGATGGAAATTTGATAGGTTCCCGAGCAGAGGGTGAGAACAAAATGAAAACAAGAATTATGTTGTTTTCATTATTCCTGATAACTCAAATTGATTTCATTTTGATGGAGTTGATGGCTAACAGAACAAAAATGAGAGCTAAAAGATATGCGAAGAATATCAAAATTATAACATATATTGATATTAGTCAGAACTGCTTGATAACTTATTTTGATATAGATTTTTTTCTCAAGCATTTTATAAAAATCTGTATAAATCTGTATTGTAATTTAAAAATCTGTGATAAATCTGTATTCTGTATCGGGTCTGTATTAAGATTAAAAAATCTGTATAATACAGATAAATCTGTATATGGCAGCGCTGCTCGAAACAAAAGGCGCACTTGAAGTGTACAAAAGGCGCACACGAGTTCACTTTGCTTTCCGTTCGATAGGCCAAAGAGAATCCCAATGGCGTTTCAATGGCTAATAGGCCCAAGAAAACCCGTAGGCCAAGTTGAGCCACCAGGAGCAGTTTTGCATTTTCAACAATAAACGAATATTTTGCTACCCTTTATCAGAGCTAACGGCACATCTGGAAAGGTAAATAAATTTGGAAGCCATCTGTAATAATAACATTCCGCTTGGTGCTAAACTACGCTAGATTAAGAAATACTAAGTGCGGGTTGTGCTTAATAGGCCGGGCATGGGGTAGTTAACCCTAATCCTATAGCCAGCAGAAAATCCAGTTTCTGGTAACCTTATCTGCTGTTTTGTTTTGATTCTGCACTCCGTTTCGCATCGTTCCATTTCACTTTACTCCGTTCCGTGTGCTAAATGACGTTTAAGCCATTTTTAGTTTGCACGGTGTGCAGATGAGCGGGGTTCAAACTAAAAAGTGATCAGATTAAGAACGGTCAGATTACCGGGGGTCCACGGTATTTTAATAGGAGATAAATAAAACGCCTCCCTGGCACTCGATTTTATTAGAATATTCCTCGATGGGTTCATACTGATCATTGATTTGGAGAACGTGGCATCCATGTCGGACACAAGGTTACTAGCTTGTGTTTCACCTCAACTGCGATTATTGCGCAGAGTTTGCTTGTTACTTTCGAAATGTGAATTTTCAACCTATACATTTTGATATTTTGATCCAATTAGTATTTGTTTACCTTCCCATTTAAAGCAGTTCAACGGAGGGTTGTGTTGCGTGACATGTTTCATGAATCATTCGGTGTGCTGAAACTATACACGTATGTGCAATTGTCGGCACCAATAGACGCTTAGTAATGATTCGCGACTTTTTGGCAGGGTTTCCCTTGAGAAAGAGCCCTCTACCTCCCGCAGCCGTTGAATGTTTTCGTCCGGCAGCGTCGTATCAAATTCCTAGAATCTGTAAATATGTACAACCACTGTCGGGATCAATGGCACAACAATATTCATAGCCGGTGATCTTGCAGCACTCCTGCGCTATGTTTGCAAAACTTTTAAGCCTCTTCCTTTGACGAAGAAGAATACCCGGAACCACTGTTTTCGTCGTTAGATATCCACTAAGCACAACAAAACGACAACCGAAACGATGAGGAAAAACATGTTGCTCAATGAAGAAAATTAACTGTCAGTGACAATCTCAACCTGTCACAAACAATTTGCCGGACTACTTTGTCTGTCAAAGTGAATTGATTGACGAAGCAAAGCAACGTACGTCCTATCGCATTAGTCATTAACGTCGGTCAGCATTTCAATAGAGGTTTCGTCAATGAGAATCGAGAAATCACATCAGTTGTCGCGTAATATTGATGAAATAATGCAGCACTGGATGAATCGATTATTTCAGCGTTGTCAACATTGAATAAAAATGCAAATTTGATACTCATTAAAGAAGGGAAAAAATCATGATTTTGAACAAACCGGCAATAGAACACACCAGTATCCAGCTTTTCATGCTCGGTAATGGTGGCCTGTTTGTATGAATAAATGTATCCTGCTTTTTGACGCTAACTGGAGGGCGTATGTAGAGTCGGTGTATAATGAGTCACGCCAAGTCTACCTATTGAACTGTCAAACCGGCTACCTATCGTGCAAAGTAAACAAGCATTACGATGCTATGAAAGGTCCACGAAAGGTATTGCAATTAAATATAAAATATAATCGAAGAAATGATCATATACACGCAGTGAGCATTACATTTGTCATGCGATACGTTTTGTAATGATCAGTAATGACAATTTCTACTATTTTTCTTTAAGATAATTCGACAAAATCACTGATATAATGATTTACTACAGCCGTTAATTTTTTCCTCGCTAGAAGTCATTTGAAGTTGATGCAGAAGTCCTCTGTTGCCAAGTTAAAAGAAAGGGAATCTTTCGAAAACCGTGATGCGAGTTCAACTGTTTTTCTCTTGGCGTAACTCATTATACACCGACTCTAGGCGTATGTTGTTCCATTTTCTTCTGTTCCTGGGAGAGGGAAAGGAAGGGGTCCAAATCCGAACCTCCAGATGGCACAGTAAAGGATACATTTTAATATGGACCAACAGGTCTGTGTCATAAAAAGGGAGGAAAAGGATACATTTATGCATACAAACAGGCCGCCATTACTGAGCATGGAAAGCTGGATAGCACCACACTTTACCTTTCAGATTAAGGTCTGGTTGTCATTTGGTTTAAATTCACGCGAGGATACGTAACACTTTATCACAGACAAACAGACATGACACTAGCGTGTTGTTCATCGAGCACGCATTTAACGGGCAATTTTAATTTTTCTTAGTTAGTAGTACCATATGTTTTTCCATTGAAAATCAAATAAGGTTTAGTTTCTGCATCACGATTAAAAGTTTCAAGGATTAAATCAAATTGGGAGATTTTTAGCGAAATTCACCTAAAATACCAACTTGAACTTTGAAAACAAGATGGGAAAGGGGGGGAGGGGGGTGTCAGAGGGGACACAGTGTTTATAATATTTTAAAAGCTTGTAGTGAATAGTGTCGTGACTAACCACAATAGAGAAAGCATATGTGACTCCGCTGCCATCCACTAGAGCTACCAGTGGAAACATATAAACATGTTAGCTAGTCATCAGGGACATCTATTCTTAAATTAATACTACGTTCTAGATCCCTATCCTTGCCAGTAAATGTCTTTCGATGGCCTGCATAAAATTCCACGAGCTTCTCTTATCCTTTTGGTTCACAATGCAATGTGAGATGCAAATTCCCTGCAGAACAGAACATTACATCATCATTAGTATCATTATCATCATCATCATCATCATCATCATCACCACAATTCCCTGAACAATCATCAGGATGCAACTCAGTCATTCAGGCGAAAGGTGAAGGCCAATCGTCTCCCCAGGGTAAGCGCAATCGCACTTGTCGTGTGACCTCTGTCCCCTGGAGGTGATTACTCAACCTGATACCTTCTCGTACATTTACGACGAGTTTCATTGATTAGACTAATCGCAGCTCGGAAGGAGCCTTGGCTATTTCTATACTTGAGAAGACTGTTTTACACTCACCTGCCATCCCTGAAGCAGCAGACTCCGATCGACTGCCCGCAGCCACATCACGGCGTCACCTGCTTGGAAATCTCGCAACTTTCGGCACCGGTCGTGCAGGAACATACCGAGACATTTTAGCAGCTCCGACGTTGAGGCCTGTGGAAAAAGGATAAAGGTTAATTTCATCTCCTTTGATGAATCCTGGAAGGTAAACGATCTGATTGATTGTTATCAGAAATGAAACTTTGTTAAGCAGCTGCCGCCGTCATGAAAACTTGCCCAATATTTAATGAAACTTTATTAATTAGAAATCAGTGCTTATCGTCCTAAACGCCGAAGGAAGCGGGGGTCGTAAATTTACGCTCAAAGTCGCGTTACTAATTGTGTGCACCTCATCTTCGCAGATGTCACTGAAAGTGACATAAACCATCCTTCCTTCCTTCCGGTTCATCCACCACCCTAAACCACCCGATAATAACAGGGGCGCCGTTTGAAGCAAATCTCATCCTGAAACTCGTAGAGAGTAGCAAAAGCAGGCCGGGACAAGTGGGAGCTTATCGCACGAAGCACGTTGTCGGGTCGGTCGATCGGTCGGTCGGTCGGGTGTCGGTTGGAATGGAAATCCGTTCCGAAAACCAACTAGGCAACCGACCAACCTGGGTCCCGGGCAAGACAAGACAACTTGGGGTTGTCGTCACAGTGTTGTTTGCACTCACTCACTCACTGCCACGCCGACACTGACTGCAGTGGGAAATTGGGCTAAAGGTTCGGTTTTATGATGGTATTATCTTTTTATGCACTGATTCGGTGGTTAAAAGTTTTCCTACGAGGGCACAGAAGCTTTGACAATGAAATCGAGGTGGTTAAAGTTGTTCTTGGTGTTGTCGGTGCTTGGTTGGTGGGTGTTCTGATGCAAAAGGGGATTCCAGGATTTTATTTTATAGCACGGTTTAAAAGAGATTGGAAAGCATTTATTGAACCTATAAACTGTGTGGCAGTAATGATTTGGAAATTTCTTGCATAATAAAATCGGAATTTTGAACGACATCCAAGTGTAAAGTGCCTTCTCTCATGCATATGTTTCTCAAGCACAAAGCAAGTAATAAATTGATGGAGATATGCGATTTTCACTTGCGGTTCAAGTTTACTGGAAGTATTTTTCAAACCGAAGGATGCAATTTTCTCGTACATAAAATCACATTTGTGGTGATCATGAAAATGTATTCACGTTAAAAAAAATGTTTTCATGTAAAACAATGAACTATCCATCTGGAAAAATATATGCTGGCTTAGTTTTAGACATTTTTTACGTAGGATTACGTCTTTTGGAAGCATATTGGGGGTGCAATTTCAAAAAACCAAAATCGACCACGTTACGAAAAGTGGTCAGGTTTTGACCACTTATAACTCTGTCAATAGCGGATGGATTTTAAATCTAAATAAGCCAATCGATTAGAAATTTTGCTACAAATCTGGTAAAATGAACATAGGTCATTATTGAAAATTACACAAATGTCCAACTGTTTCAATGGTGATCAAAATTATCACCGATTGCCTGCAAAAAGCGCTTTCCCTAACACAGATTTGAAAATCGAATTTCATCCGGTATCACCGAACGGTTCTTATTCAATCACGGTGTGTGGTGGTGACCAGTTGGTCGTCATCATCATCAGCAGCAGCAGTGCTTTCGGCGCGTGGCTTTGAACATTGTTCTCCAGTACACAACAAAAGGTTACCCGCAAGCAGTGAGCTGCAGCAAAATTGAGCGTCCATTCACCGACGAAGGAGGAACAAGCCGCACCGCTACTGATCAGATTCAGTAGCTCTTCGTGAATCGCTGTGGGCCATCTATGCCAAGCGTCACCCTCGTTTCAAATAACATACAGCTCGTCAGCCTCATCCTTGTTGAACACCCTAATAGCTTATCCGAGAGCTCAGCATTACTCAACCATCACGACAAAACGGTCCTTTTCTGGACCCCCATAAATTGTTGTTTAAGAGTTAATTTTCATTTGCTCGCCTTGCTGCCAATCACATCACCCGCAAAGCTCTTTGATAATGTACCCAGCAACAAAACGTTTGTGGTCAAAATCCTGGAAAATCAAGGAATATCTGGGAATTCCCCTTAGAGCTGCTCAGATAGAATCAAAATTCATCCGCCAGAAGACTTATGTTAAAAAATCATTGCAAATTGAGAGTAGTGGATAAAGAGAATGCGAGAATAAGTGGATCAGTATTAAAATACTGATAATTTGTGATGTGACAGCGATTGTCAGAAAAGGTAACATAAAGTGTACCTCTCCTCGATGTCGATCTTGGTATCAAGAAATTTGGTATACGCTATTGTTTTTGTGGGCATTGTTCGTTTTTTACAACTCTGAGAAAATAGTGAAATTTGCTCGCGGAGGCCGTCATCAACCGAACCAATCTATTACACAAGAAGAACAGTGGTGACATCGAAATTGTCAAAGTGAATGGGGAATGGAATGATATTGAACCAAAACTCGTCAAGATCATTGTACTAAGCGTGAAGGTCTAGATATGTGTAGTACATGAGCGAACGGCAAAAGCAGCACTGTAAAGGCCCGAACACAATGGGCAAGCGTCATGAAATGTTAATGTCTGTTGCACAAGAAGATGGAAGAATCTGATGAGATGTGCAAAACTGAATGATTAGAATCACAGCAATGGATCCGATGGCAATTTCATGCTTCCTAATATGCACAATTTTGATATCACATCAAAGTGGATGCACTTCAACCAACAATCAATACGAAACTGACGATTTTAAATTGGCTCACTACTTGACTAGCCTATTGGTTCCAAGCAAATCGATTAACGTACCCCATTATGGTATAAATTCCAGTACTACACTATGTTTGTTTTGATTCGCTATGAAAGTTTGACAGATAAAATGAGGGGCTAGTGGATTTTCCTATGTTTCGAGGGGTGAATCGATTAGCTTGGGACCGAAGATAGTACCAGAGCTGAGCCAAAAAGTTGAGCTTGCTTCTTCTGGACCTTCTGGTCTTAGAGTTACCTCTATGCTTCATTCGTGTCAACATATGGTGTAATATTACTTGCCAAAAAGGATAAAATTATCATTAGTACAGTGCATAGACTGACATTACGCTGCTTTTACTGCATTTGTTTATTTGTGTTGCCATAAAAATTACATGACATCTTCAACATGATTGATGTGCATCCTCTTGGATGTAATATTAAAATTTATTTTATGCTGTGTGGCGTGATGATCGATTGGCACAACAGTAACGGTCATTTCAAATCGCTCATCCTGAACAGTGACATGTGAAAAGCGAGAAGTGTAAAGGCCGGCGCACAATAGATACGTTTTCAGGTTTTTTGACAGATAATGCATGGGCTAACTGTCACAAAACCTGAAAACGTATCTATTGTGCGCTGGCCTTAATGCTAAAATCCTTGCCATCTTGAAACGAAACCGGTCAAATGAGAAGAAAATAGAAAAGGAAACAAATTCAAAACAAACAGGCCCTATTGTTTGCAAGCCCTGCTATACGGTCAGTCATAGCTACTGACCAGAGTTGATAATAGAAGAGTAACGCAGAGTGAAGCTTGCAAAACTGATGTCGATTAATGGGCATTTTATTATTTTTGGCAACCTTTGTTATTCTTTACACCTCGGATTACTTCACCTGGGTCGTGAAAGTTTCCTCTACACTGAACGAAAACATCCGCAATACTTCGACTGATTATTAGGGCTCCTTTAACAATATGCTGTCAAATTTCGGATTATTTCCTTATGGTTGAATTCTTCATCAACTGATGAGTATCCATATGACTGTCCTCCAAATAAAGGGTGATAGTTATTTGCAAATTGGTTGTAAAACATACAGGGCTCAGAGGACAGCAATTTTAAGGATAAGATGACTTGCACAAGCTTTAGATTAAATTATTAATTCGATTATTTACATTTCCATATTGAAAAGCTATGAACAGCCATTCATAATGGATACAAAAATTCCTTTTTGGTTGGTCGAGGAAACTTCCTCCACCACGAAATAGACAATTTATAGTTTCCACCCTTTAGCAATGCTCGTACCACCTCTGATAGCGATGGCTATGCTTCCACCTCGTTTGTCTGCGCATAGCAACAAATGACGTTCGATATAATTATTATATTTACATCATCGTTTTGAATGATTTGCGTTAAGGGGCTGAGCCAGTACCTAATGAATTTAAATTTAAGATGACTATCATTCGGCAGAGAGCATTACGCATTCCAACTGAAGGCCCTATCCCTTTTCATAACAATGTTCATCCTGTTTTCGAGAGGAAAATCATAGAGGTAACTCTAAGACCAGAAGGTCCCGAAAAAAACGAGCTCAACTTTTTGGCTCAACTTTTTGGCTCAGCTCTGGTACTATCTTCGGTCCCAAGCTAATCGATTCACCCCTCGAAACATAGGGAAATTTACTAACCCCTCATTTTATCTGTCAAACTTTCATAGCGAATCAAAACAAACATACTACACACTGGAATTTATACTAGAATGGGGTACGTTAATCGATTTGCTTGGGACCAATAGGCTAGTCAAGTAGTGAGCCAATTTAAAATCGTTAGTTTCGTATTTATTGTTGGGAAAATCATCTGGTTTCAAAACAAACGTCATCCGGTTGCAGCTATCATTCGAAAAGGCGATTTCGATATTTCGATTTGAATGGTCTGAGGTTTCATTCGAGCTGAGGACGGTGCTTTGGTACAGTGTAGTTCCGATAACAATACTTCCCACGCAATAGAGTCGTTTGTCTACTATGCTCGATAGGCAGACGGATTGACAGTTCGATAGGTAGATTTTGGTTTCAGTCTGCATAGCTCTTCTATTATCAACTCTGCTACTGACCTATAATTTGCATCTAGATGAGCACCCAAGTAACATTGCAGGTTTTATCGCGGTTTTATAGCATTCTGCAAGTCTAAATCATGGTCTACAGAACCCTCATACAAATAAAATTGTTACTTGGGCAAGCTAGCCTTGACCTAGTTATGATTCAGCTGGTTTCTGGTGGTATTGTGTTCAGTTTGCCGCCTCGGTACTATTGCGAAAAATTGTTTACATTTTGTTTGGCATTTCTGTGTGTTGCTTGGGAAAATCATCGATGAGAGAAAAAAAAAAC